AAAGAAAGCTATCAGATTGGTTTTACATGATTTGTTCTTTACAAATCCATGCTGGCTGTTCCCTATCACCTTGCCAGTTTCCAAGTGTTTACAGATGATTTCCTCAATTATCTTCCCTGGCACAGAAGTTAAACTAACTGGTCTGTAGTTTCCTGGGTTGTTCTTATTATATGCCCTTTTTATAGATGGGCATTATATTTGCCCTTTTCCAGTCCTCTGGAATCTCTCCTGTCTCCCATGATTTTCCAAAGATGATAGCTAGAGGCTCAGATACCTCCTCTATCAGCTCCTTGAGTATTCTGGGATGCATTTCATCAGGCCCTGGTGACTTGCAAGCATCTAACTTTTCTAGGTGATTTTTAACTTGTTCTTTTTTTATTCAAGATGATTAAGAGAAACCTTAACAAGCCTATTCTACCTCACTACTAGGGATGTAAAATCCCATTTAATCAGTTAACTAGTTAAACATATTGGCTACGTCTACACTGGCCCCTTTTCCGAAAGGGGCATGGTAATTTCAGAGATCGTAATAGGGAAATCCGCGGGGGATTTAAATATCCCCCGCAGCATTTAAATAAAAATGTCCGCCGCTTTTTTCCGGCTTTTAGAAAAGCCGGAAAAGAGTGTCTACACTGGCCCCTTTTCCGAAAGGGGCATGGTAATTTCAGAGATCGTAATAGGGAAATCCGCGGGGGATTTAAATATCCCCCGCAGCATTTAAATAAAAATGTCCGCCGCTTTTTTCCGGCTTTTAGAAAAGCCGGAAAAGAGTGTCTACACTGGCCCCTTTTCCGAAAGGGGCATGGTAATTTCAGAGATCGTAATAGGGAAATCCGCGGGGGATTTAAATATCCCCCGCAGCATTTAAATAAAAATGTCCGCCGCTTTTTTCCGGCTTTTAGAAAAGCCGGAAAAAAGCGGCGGACATTTTTATTTAAATGCTGCGGGGGATATTTAAATCCCCCGCGGATTTCCCTATTACGATCTCTGAAATTACCATGCCCCTTTCGGAAAAGGGGCCAGTGTAGACGAGCCCATTGTTTCACCAGCTAAATTGCTCCAGTGGGGGCTGGCAGCCAAGCTGGGGCAGCCTGTGGTTGGCAGGGGACTGCTATAGCCCCCGCCAGTGAACTGTAACCAGTAAGCATCACCTGGGTAACCAGTTAACAATTCACATCCCTATATCGAACCCCCTTTTTGAGCAGGTGATAAACAGGGTAAAAAAAAGAAATTGACATCTGCCTCTTTTCCTCCTTATTATTTCTGTTCATCTGTACGATATGTAAACAGGAGGCAGCACATTTTACAGTAATATTTCCCTTCCCATTACAAGTTCTGCACCAATTCAGCTACTGACTTATTGTCTAATCTAGACATATCACTTATTACAAAGCTTTGCCTCACTTGAAACACTTAAAGTAGGTGTGGCCAACCTGAGCCTGAGAAGGAGCCACAGTTTACCAATGTACATTGCCAAAGAGAGAGTAATTTGGCAGCACTCCCCATCAGGTGCCTCCCATCTCCAGCATCTTTTGCCCACCAGCAGCCCCACCAATCACTGCCTCCTCTTCTTTTCCATGCCTCCTGCCCACTGTAATCAGCTGTTTCATGGCCCCCAGGAGGCTCTGTGGGGGGAGGGAAGGAGCAAGGGCGCAATACACTTGGAGGAGGAAGTTGAGCCAGGAGTTGAACACTGGAAATTTGGCACTTATAGCTACAGCCCCGGAGTCGGTGCCTGAGCAAGGAGCCACATGTTAATTTCAGAAGAGCCACATGTGGCTCTAGAGCCACAGGTTGGCCACCCTTGCCTTAAGGCTTTAGTCTCATAGTTACTCAGTATCTACTCCACTCACTAAAACTGGAACCCA